TTTTGCAAGTTTCTCCCTATACATGATCTCTGGGGTCATTGGTCACCTTTCTGGACGGGACCCAAATTTCTTCTATTATAGAGGCTACTGTGCTTTTTGGAATCTGCGATGTACGAAACATTTTTTTTTTACTTTCCCCAGATCTGTCCCACAAAAACTGCCTCTAAACTCTGCAGACAGTTAATTTGACCTCATGACTTGGCTCTAACATGCGTTTAACACAGTGAGACCTTATATGGACAGGTGTGTACCTTTCCAAATCATGTCCAATCAATCGAATTTGCCAAAGGCAGAATCCAATTAGAGTGTAGAAACATCTGAAAGATGATCCAGAGAAATGTGATGCATCTGACTACATTTTCAGTGTCATGGCAAAGGGTCTGAATACTTATGTCAATGTGAAGTTTAAGATTTTTCTTATTAAACTTTGCAAAGTTTTCAGAAACTTGTTTTTTGACTTGTCATTACAGGGTATTGAGTGTAGATTGATGTGAACAATTAATTGTAACCATTGTTGCATTAGGCTGCTACACAAAGTAAAAAAAAATCTATTTTCTGTATGCACTGAGTATGTGTGTATGTGTGCGCTCACACACTACACGTGCGGATTGGATTCGTCAAAGCATACTGCAATGCGGAAAGAAACAGCTGGAAGGGTTCTGCATCACCACTTTATGGATCAACGATGCAGTCTCAAAAAGAACATTAAGAAACTGGAAAAATTTACAGATTTGGGCTACATTTAATTGATAAATAAATTAATTGGGAGAACAGAACATATTGTTACAATAAAAGGTTAGAAACATTGTATTTGTTTACACTAGAGCAAATATGTCTTAAAGGTGACATTGTAACATTGTACAAATGAAAAGGAGGACACAAAGGGCAACAGGTCAACTGCTAAGGCTTGAGGAAAGAAAAAATGTTTTCTAGTTAGAACAAAAACAATTAAGAGAAGCTAACAGGGTTATTCACTAAAGTGAGAATTCTGTGTGAATTCAAAGAGAATTTAAAACTTAGCATTAAAATGACAAACATGGGGGAGTGGAGCAAGTGCCCAAACAAGTTGGACCCATGTTTCTGGAGCTCCATTCAGCATCGCTTAGTTGTGCGAAAACCTGCATGTCTTAGTCCACCTACATATCTGCTGTATTTTATACCCCACCTTCAATGTGGTAGAAATCTAAAAAACACCAGACCAATTAAGGTTCCAGATCCCGCAATATTGGCACATCTATCCAAAATGCCCGAGATTACTGGTGTCTGTGGAGGCCTTTACATAAGGTTCCTTGGATTAGGACAGTCTGCCACATGACTGTGTCCAGTTACCATTGAGTAGACAAAATCCAGGATATGCATCAGCTACCTGTAAGTGTCAATATTGTCCACAGAATGACATTCCCAAATTTCATCAGACTTCGGTGGCCTCTTCGGGGCTGTAAATCTTAATCTCAGGCCTGACCAGCAATGTCCAGAGGGGATTTTGATACAGGTGAGGAGTGTTGGTTAGGGCTGTGATGATTGTCAGAACTGGGTTAGTCAGGAGAAGACCAGCAACAGAAGGCCAGTTGTTTTGCAATTAAATCTCTTCTTAGCCATCAGCTAGACTTGGGAATTCAGCCGAAGAGTTATACGTTTATTATAGTGTGCAACAAAGTGCTTTTTCAAGCACCCACTACTGACAGTCACCTTGAACATCTCCCACACACTACATCCCCTACACATACATACTGCATTCCCAGTGCACACACACATAAACACACTGCATCACCAGCACACACGATTCTTCCCCCATCTCATACTGCATCACACATGCACACACACACACACTGTATGACCAACAAAAACACACAACTTCCTAAACAAACACATGGGATCGCCAATAGATACACACTATAACTCCTTTACAAATACTCTTTCTCTAGAGCCCTTAGATACACATATTCCACCACAGACACAAAACAAGCACAACTATTTACAAACACATTTTTACACCCCATGCAGCCCCTCACACACTGTCCCAGAAGCAGCTTTAAAACACATTCACAATAAAATTTCCTGTACCTGTCACACTTCTCGTATCTCACTCATGGAGACACAAAAGAAAAGCCACCAGCATTCGGGGCAAAAGAAACACATTTGTTTTGTTATCGAAAGACATGCTAATTATTTTGTTTAATATTTTTATGTATACACGGGACTGGGAGGTAAGCGGGTAAAAAAGACAGTTTTAAAATCATAAATTTTGTATGTTTCTTTTACAATCTATAAACCCATGTCACATCAATAAAATTAAACTCACTTTCTCAGATTAAACATAAAACGTCCAAATCTACTAAATTGATGGTGGGTTAAACATTATATTGTCATAGCATGTGCCTAATCAGAATATTTCTATTATAAGAAATAAGTGTTTTAATTGAGTAAAGATCCATGGTGTGTAATGAGTGTGTGCTTATTCCCTTACGTAAGGTATAGGATTTTGTTTCCTTCAGTAGCACTCCAATTCAGTCAATAGAGTTTGAACTCTATATTTTTTTACTGTGATAAAGGAAAAAAGCATAAATCATAGGGCTAAGCTGCTGATGCAGTCATCGCCATTGGTGGTTTGGGATACAGCCAGGCTACAAATTTAAATCATCTGCAAATAATGAATGTATATACATATTCCAAGTGCAGATTACTTGATTGTTGTATATTATGAGCAGCGCATGTCCTGATGTCCTTCAACATGTTAATGTTATCTCAATATTAGTTAGAACTGGTACATTATCCATGATCTGTTTATTCTGAGTGACTGGTAAATGTCATGATGTATGTGTACATAGAGCCGTGCTTTCTGTGTGCATCCATATCTGTATGGGAGGAAAGGGTGGTAATATACCAATCTACGCATAGTTGAAGAAATTACCTGTGTCCCAAAAAGAATGAATAGTAAATGTATCCATGTTTGTATATCAGGAGAAATGACCAGCACGTGTTCCTGTGTATCAAAATGAGTGACCGGTACCTATCCTTAAAGCTGTATATTAGGAAGAGTGAATGGTACATGTCCCTCTATCTGTATGTCAGTATGACTGATCAGCACATGTCCATGTCTGATTGTGAAGAAGGATCACTATATGCCCGTGTCTATATATCAAAAGGAGTAGTTGGTACATGTTCCTTCGTTTGATACATGTCCCTGTGTATGTGTATCAGTAGACGTGACCAATACATGTGACAGTATATCATAAGGAGTGACTGGTATAGCTTAAAAATACTTACTAATTCTTTATTGCACAATACAACATGGGGCTCCAAACACAAGTTGCAAATAAATATGAAAAGACAGATTTGAGATGGTCGTTATTTGCTGCTGTAAGAGGTGGACTTCCTTCAGCCAGCAAGCTGAGGATTCATAAACAGTTGTACTTTTTTATTTTTTACTATTATTATTGTTTTATTCTTTTTCCTGCTTTGGGGGTGGATGTAACTGGTGAACTGCTTTTCTATATTATAAATAATTGCTACACTATTATTATTTATATGGCTCCAAAATACTGTGTACCACTATACAATGGGTAAACAAAACATACAAGTACTGTGATTGTAATATAACCAATATGAAATGCAGGAACAAGTGATGAGAGCCCTGCACAGATATGGTGCTGGTACCTGTCCCAGACCCTTTATATTATGGATTCCGTGTGATAGGTACATGTCTTTGGGAGCTGGTGAACAGCGTGTGTCCCTGGTTTCTGTGTAACATGAAGAAGTTCGATGTGTTTCCCAAAGGCACATAGTTTGGGATGGTTTGTAAAGACAAGTTCTAACATAGAAAATGTAAAAAAAAAAACTGCCACACTAAGCATTCCATACATATTAAAGTTGTATAAATAAAATACACAGTACGCATGCACATATATTCAGTGTGTAATATAGTATGTGTTTATGTGTATTTACTAGAATGTGCCTATGGAAAGAGATTTGTTTTTTGTAACTTTTTTCTAATCACCACTGAATATGTTTATAGTATATAATAGGTGTTTTCTAAAAATATGTAGTAATATGTACACACCAGGAGTATGCAAGTATGCAGTGTATGATATTTAATAAGACGTGCAACTGAGATATCATTTTGGAGAGCAATGTTACGTCACAGTATGGTACTGCCATCATAGAGGCAGATCAACAATATTTAGCATTGATACGCAGATGGAACTACAACATTTACAAGTCCTCAATTTGCAGCTATGAGCAAACAAATCCTATTTAAAGGGGAACTGTCACTTTTCCAGTATTAACACTATTGCGGAGGTGCCCAAAAGGTAGATCCCCCCGATGTCTTAGAACTAATATTTCCATGATGCTATGCCCTTCTAAAGGCATGCAAAGCATCATAGAACTTGTAGTTCTACAACTGTGGATCTACCTTTTGGGCACCCCTGCTCTATTGACAGTTACCTATAACTTTTATTATCCATTTTCATGAGATATTGCATTTCCTTTCATTAAAGATTTAGCAAATTATATCATAATGCAACTCGGACAGGGCAAACATTTGGAATCGAGAGGGGAGATAGTAGCATTGTTTAATTTCTATTCTTCTTTGTATGCAGACTGCTGGGTGCAAAGGACATAGTTTATAAGAATGATTGACAGGGAGCTAAGATCAAGTACCCAGTTGCAGTTAAAAGAGGAGTGGATTTCTACTTTTAATTTTCCCTCTTCCCAAAATACATATTCGTGAAATATGGTTATAAGTGAAATTTAAAAAAACAAACAAACATGGGAAATGACAGTTTAAATTGGAATATACACATATAACCATTACATTTGTCTATACAGTGTATCTAACCATACAATCACACAGATGAAGTTTTCGGTTGTATGTGAAGTGTTTGTATGTGTGGGAAAATGAATTGCCAACATCATGTTTTCTCCAAGGCAATGGCTTCATTTCTCAAATACAAAATAAACACATCTTACAGATAAGCATGGAATGAACAGTTGTTATTGTTTTTTTTTATTTTAATTTTATCTTTAAAACGTTTCAACTATTTAGGACAAAATGTTACAATGTTTGACCCCGTTCTTTAATTACATAAATAAAAAGTTCTTTATAAATATCTCTTTATAAACAATATAAATAGCTTTACAACATAAATACATTGATGCGAGGTGTGAATTTACAGACAGCTCTGCCAGCCCTTCCTCCTCTCATGTGGTTGTGACTACAGAAACAGGAAATGTAACCCTTGCACTGCTGGATAAGGGCACTAAAAAATTTTGCCACGGCTTGCTGAACCTCCTAAGTCCACTCAGAGTGGCACTCACTTTCCAATGCACTTCAGCCCGAGAGTCCTCGTTGGTCCAGTTGTTTAACCTTTTGTGCACTTGAGTGGTGTGGAAATGCTTTGCCTGATACTCCAGCACAGAAAGGGTTAAATTTCCTACTTCCTGCATGTTAGAATAAATGCATTGTTTCCGAAATATTCTAATAACCACATTACTAGAAAATAAGTTGTGTGCAGGGTTAATACCATATGATCTTGTTCTACATGCTGAATTCATTGTAACTCTCTGGTGGGTATAGGAATCTAGCTAGTTCCAAACGTTCAGTACGTGTATAGGGCAGTTATAATAGGAGGTATTCTATACCTCTTGTCTAATTCTACATTATATTTGTTGCAGAATGTATTTTGCAGAGCAATCCAATGGCACACAGCACCAATGCATATATTTATTTGGATCATCTGCTAAGAACACTATCCCAGCTGCAAGTCACCTACTGCATGAGTCAATCTAAATGAGCTGTAAATTCCCTGTACCAAGTGCAGCACTGTTTACCCTAGCAGTGCTATAGTTAGATTACAAATAAACACACACACACAAAAGAAATACATTTTTGCTAAGTCATTTGGAGCATTGACAAATCATTTACTTAAGTAGCTGTGGCCACACTAAACTAACATACAGGATTAAAATTAGTTGAGCAGCCAGTAGAAGTTTAAATATGACCTTCCCTCTGTGATAGGACTGGGAAGACGTCCCAAGTCTTTCTTTCCGTAGTGATCATGTTTAGATAATCAAATTCTGATGGAGGCTGGTCACTAAGATGGACACGTTGGCAAGAAAACCTTTGTGTGCCTACTGCACTCCAATCAGTGTGTCAATATAGCTTTTTAGTGTTGAGAGCTGATGGGTCTAATCTAAGGGTTTAATTGTAACTAAAGTGGCACGTGAAGACTTGTGACCTAGTGAAGATGTCCATGTGGCTGAAACACCGACAGGCCATGAGTTAGGAATGGTTTGGCACATAGAGAGTCTAGTCGCCCTACATAGGGTAACGCATGAGAGTCTGCTTGGCCACCTAAAAGGTGATGCACGCCTCCAAACGTTGATATGTAAACTGCTAGGCAGCCCTCGTTACAGATGTGGACACAAAACGCACATGTGTGGCTCTTGTGCGCTAGGAACAGAATGAAGATAGACATGTGGTAACAGCAGGTCCTATGTCCCATCGTACCAGCCTGTCACCCCCACCGAGGAATCTTTGGCTTCAGGAAACATAAGATTCTCAGATGGGCATCTACTCTGAGACAGGATAACGACCAGTGATCAGAAACCGTTGTCGATGTTCGGAGCCTGAAAGAGAAAAGACTTCAGGATTAGTGGTGTTATTAGAAAGTGGCAAGCCAGAATTCTGACTTCTCTCATACAGCACTTCAAGCTTTGTAACAGCACATGGAAAAACGCAGATGGAATTATGATCATAGTTATTAATAACACAGCCCCGGTACATTCGCTGCCAGGATCCTGGGAAGCACAGCTCTGGCCTCAAATCATTTATTTTCCTCGAGTTGTCCCTGTTCCTCCCACCTCCTCACATAGGCTGCAAACCTCACAATGCAGGCAAATCCTGTTCCAATCCTGTGCTGGGGTTTATTGTGCTGTGTTAGCAATGAACCATTCTGAGTTCTTAGAAGAGCCACAAAGATATGGTGTTATAATGTATCTAGGAATCTGGGTTATCATCCATTTAATATGTGATCTTTAAACACTACATAATGCATGGCTGTCACGTTAAAACCATGGATATAGCCAATTATAGGCTAATAATCCCAGTTTACTTAGCCTTCATTCAGTTAAATGCAGGCACTCTCACTGTCTGCCAAGATGCTTACTTAAGTAGAACATGCTTAAATATATAAATATTAAAACTTTCTGTCCTGATCATATTTCAAATTCAGCCAAATGAACACAAGTGCAGGAGGGGTTGGGGAGAGAGGAGTAGGTGGATGATTTATAAAGGGGTAAAAGCATTGTGAGAAGAAACTGCCAAAGTCAGATTAAGTAAACTACTGTCTCAAACATGTGACAGTGTGGTATGTCCTGCCTAAAAAAAGTCTTCATATTCTAAAAGATGAGTGCATCTATATGCAATGACGGGATCTCATAATGTGTTAGACTAGAACAGGCAGAGGCAACCTTCGGCACTCCAGATGTTTTGGACTACACCTCCCATGATGCTTTGTCAGCATTATGGATGTAGGAGCATTATGGGGGATGTAGTCCACAACATCTGGAGTGCCAAAGGTTGCCTATCAATGGACTAAAAGGACTGATCAATCATATTCTTACTCATGGAACCTATTCATCAGATGCAAGCACTACAATGTTTAGAAAATTGCAACACAGTATGCAGACGGTTCAGTCACATCACATAACTTTGTCAGTTTTAAAGCTAATGACATATCTATATAACAATGGCTGACAGCAGATTTAAACAGATGCTACATGTGTGATTAATTGGTGCATTTTATATGACATAATCCCCCTCCACTTCCAGCACTCATTGTTCTTGCAAAGGACTATGGACAGATGTGCCTAGTCAGCATATCACCTATTTACCCAATTATATTTATTGTTGCTTTATGCTGTTGGAGTAGTAATGGCTATTTTGTCTACATCTAAATGTTGCATGCGATAACATAACTGTATTAAACTAGAGAGGATTTGAGCATTACACAATAGATCATGGCGAGTACATAAGCAGATGTACAAGAAATGCAGTCCCAAATAATAGGTGTATACCCATACTGGATTAAAATTAAGCAATATTGTAGTAAATCATGGACAGATCAGGCTAGAATATGTCAAATTAATATGTGAAATGCATGGGTATTTCAAACACAAGGGAATACACTTTGATAATGTAATGCTTACTGACCGCCACTAGATGGTGCTCCAACTTCTAGCACCCCAGGCCACTCATGGCTCCAATTCGGTCCAGTTTGAGGCCAAAGCATCCCTTGGATAAACCTTTCTTATTAATGCCTTTAAATTTACGGGTGTTGGGATATTCATTGAGTAGTCTGGACCAGGCTGCTCGCGAACGGGTGTCAGCACGCAGGTCCCGTAGAAGCCGGGCACGGGTTTTAGCATCAATGTTCCTTTCTCCCCTTTCTCCTGATGCTAAATACTCTGCCAGTTCCTCACCCAACAGAGCACGAAGTGACTGCAGAACACAGAGAAATGCAATTCAAAATTAGTTCCTTTGATGAGGCCTGATAGCGTCACTTCTACAGCAATGTGCATGCATTATTAATAAGCAATTATAATATCATAGGTTTGCTTTGGGAAACAGTTGGGTTTATTCATTAAACTCTGAATTGTACCAGTTTGAATTTCAAATTGAAACATTTTGGCAAAAAAACAAGCAAAGCTATATTGCGGAGTTGATATGTATGTATATATATATATATATATATATATATATATTTAAATCAGATTAGCTATTTTTGCCTAAATTTAGCAATTGTATTTCTGAACCTGGTAGGTTTTAATTTTTTAGTAAATAACCCTAACTATTATAAAGAAAGTATGTGTTTCCTAAGATGCCTAACATTGACTAAGAAGAAGAGATGGGGGAATGCAGATTGAATGGAATAGTGAGGTCATTGATAGTTTTTGCTCATCCAGTCCAGAGACAGATGGCCAACAGCTGGGATATTTGCTAATAAGCCAACAGGTTATCAAAGTGCATGTTCAGAAAAGTGCTGCAAAGTTGTAAAAGCAGTGCACTCACCAATGGAATGTATCTGCTGATTCCACTGGTTTCTATGGTGACTGCTAGAGCTACAGAATTCTGCACCACTTTTCAAGACAACCCTGATAAATCTGTCACACAAGAAATGCAGGGGTCTGCTATGTGCATCATGTTCTCTGCATGGAACCTGAGCAACAACAGCAAAATTAGGACTAGATGGGTAATTCTACTGGGATCTGGGAATGTTTTGAATCTATGAAGGATTACATTCTGAATTCTCACATTCTCATGAAGGATCTGAGATGTGTGTCATATAAAAGCAGGGTGGGGTTTAAAGTCATGAAGCGGCTGACACTAAGCTTATGGACTATAATTCCCACCATGCTCTGACAGCATTTGACATGTCCAACAGTCCAGTAGTTAGTGTGTCAGTTATTTCTAACTAATTATAGTACCCCAATGGCAGTATGGGTTTATCATTTTAAAAGCAGTTAAAGTATCTCTTTAACACCTTAAGCACCACCTAGAATAGAATCTAACAAACTATTTTTTTCAATCATTCCCCTGATTTGAGCACAGCAGAGCTGCCAATGCTGCACAAGCAGCAGATTGCAATTTGGCACAATGACTACATTGTGATGACTGTGTAAAAGATCAGTGGCTGTAAGGAGGGGTTGTTAATATTCCAATCCATTTACTATCTATTCTAATACAATTACATTTTGTTTCTTGAGGTGTAATCTTAATCACGTTTAGCACGTCCACTACTTATAAAAAGGGGTATATGGAGCCATAAAATGCATAGATTGCCCATGAAAACATTTCTGCTGAGTAGATTGTGGACTCTGAGCTACAAGAGTTAGCTCACTCTTTTATTATTATTTGAATCTGCACTTGTGAGAATCACACAGATTAACCCCCTCACTACCACAAGTCGTGTCAAGACACTTTTCCCAAAAGCGAAGTGAAGATAATATTAGAATTATAATAGAAGGAAACAGTGTCACAAACAGATACTATCTACACAACATTCAACAGTTTTATACAAATTAAAAATGTTTGTGCTAAAAACGAATTGTGACAGAGAGAGTATAAAGTATTAAAATCATTTTTCCCCACACTTTGATCATTTATTTAAACTGTTCATTTCTGCATTTTATTATTATTATTTCACCTGTACTCTATGCTAGCATTGCACATTGTGCATCTCCTAGAGGCATTTTCAGTGATTATGTCTCAAAAACCAGCTGCAACACACTTAGAGGAGACGGGGAGCTATTCACCAAGTGGCCAGTTATTAGCAGTTTAAAATGTAGGCTAAAATAGTTTCATTGGAAATATATAGTTCAGACATCTGGTTTACAGGATTTCTTTGAGATACTTTCTTCACCCCCCCCCTCTCCCCGCGGGGCAGGAAAGGGTTAATCATCTAGATGTTAGAGGGATTTTTTTTATTTTTATTTTTTTATGTTAAGTTAGCAGGTGCTTGTATAATATCCAGTGCCCCTGATTTAAATATAATATGCCAGACAGCCACCTGCTCACTCTCGTTAAGAAATAGTTTGTATCTATGGCACTCTCTGTATATAAACACACATTCTCTCTGTTGGCAAACACTGGATGAATGAGATATGGCTCCTGGATCTTTTCCACTATTTTTAGTCATTATAATAAAACTATCACTGACTTCAAGCTGCTTGTCAAAAATATACATTTTCATATGAACAAGTACATCAGGAATAATGTAATCTGAATATTGTCATTTTCTACTCTCCCTGGTCTCCTAGAGCATTGATTCTGTAGATTACTGGGATTTCATGTAACCAGGTAAATGCAGGTAATGTGATTGTAAACACTTGTTGCACTCTGCAGGTGGGGTTACCAGAGGTCACTGTGACTGTAACCTATGGATCAGTGTCTGTAAGCAGTGCCCTTTCTCCAACCCCCGGCATAAAGATTACACTGTATCTATGTGCACAGGAATCCCATGTTGTGGCAGTCGTTTTGCCTTTTTCCCACGCATTTGTTTTAACTCTTTTCCGTGCAAATATTGGATTACATTTTAAATGCTGGCACACCAAGCATCCTCGCTATACCAGCTGTTGGCCTGATGAGGGGGGGCATGGCAGAACCGCCCTGGTACCCAGCCAGACACCTGGACTCTACAGAGGGAGGACACAGTTTTCACAAGTAGATTTGCTCTGGTGTTTCTAGTGACCTGTATGTGTGGTCCTGGATGTTTGCAACCCAATTACAAATCAGATCAGCCACATAAATAATCTAACAGTCAGGAGAGATAGGGAGAACCTTTTGAAGGTAACCCTATGCTATATTGTGTACATGATACTCCCCGGTGAAGGACAGTCACCGTGCGCCTCAATGAAAGGCTAATTCTAGAAGAGGAGCAATCAACGATAACACTCTGGTGACTGCTCCATCATGCGCAGGTGACGCTAACAGATATAAGAGGAGCAATGCTTTAACCGCGGAGCAATCACCACGGTAACCAGTGGAATATCCCTGTGGATTCCATTAGCAGTCATTGTGATTGCCACACTTCTAGAACTTTTCTGCTAATAGGCTATTATATATCTAACCCAGTGTGTTAAAAAGGAACCATTTTTGATGGTCCTAACTGAGGTCAAGCTGTGAGGAGATGCTGGAGATTTGCACTGTCGATTGGTACTACTTAGGCAACACTTACATTTTGAGTTTGGCTTTCCAAGTATTAAACAGACTAAAGTGCAAAGGATGCAATGTCACAGATCCAACCTTAATGCCTTCCTTTCCATTTTGTACAATATTTTTACAACTGAGTGATCTTTCTCAGTTTGTGATAACATTGGGAAATGATTTGCCATACACTGTTAAGTACAGCTAGCTGGCTCTGCCATGTATCTACTACTATATACACTTACAAACCTGGACATTTATCCGCACCAATCACATAATGGTATGGATGTGAAAATATTCCAGCACATTCACTAAACACACGCACTTTGCTGGTAAAATACCCGAGGCAAACTCACCTGGCATCCATTAAACCCATCATTCTTCCAGCTCTTTCTACCCCCTGACCTTAAATTCTCAATCTGCACCCTTCATACACCTGTCACGTTGCAGTTCACATGAAACAACCAGCAGTAACATTGCAAACAGTACAAGCACAAATTAGAAGAAAAATAACAAAAACATAAAATATTAATAACAATAGAAAAACAAATATAACAAAAAAACAAACCGAACACACAAAAACACAGACAGAAAATAAGCAGCAGCACAAAAGGTGAAAACTGTGAATGAATGCAAGAGAGAGAGAGAGAGAGAGAGAGAGAGAGAGAGACTCCAGGTGAGCACTCACCTTTTGGTGTGCCTGGCCAGTGGGTTTTGCCTCCATCCTAACATACAGTGCAGCCAGCACAAGTCCCCAAGCAAGGATATGAGAGAAATGCATCCTGATTCTAGGACTTTGTTACTTCAAGCAGAAAAAAAATCCCCCAAGTGTTACTGTTACAAAAATACAACGAGCAGAAGAGCTGGAGTTGGCTTGGAATCCCTCCTCCTCCTTCTTGTCTGCTCCTGTAACACTGTGTGAACTCATATCAACACCCCATTCATTTATAAACACACACTGGTGACGTCACCTCATTTAGATAGGAGGTAACGACTGTCCCATCCAGGATATGTAATCTTTTTGTTTCTCATGGGTCGTTCCCATCTACTAATTTATTCTTTTTTGTTTTAAAAACGGACAGGGGGCAGGTAGTGTTCACTATAAAACAGGGATCCCTCTCATAACCCCCCAAAAGCCACAGGTCCCATTCCAAATGTGAGTGCTCTAGTACTATACAGAGAGAGCGAGAGAAAAGAGGGGATAGATGGACCTGTTCCTCCAAACGCCCAGACACTGGGCTATCTAGGAAAGGAGAAACTCCATCTGGCTCAATGATCACTGCTTTCTACATTAGCATAGAGGAGACCTAAGGTAGAGGACCTCAGCAATGCTTGGATATGCATTTATTGCTATAACTTTTAATGGGGAAAAATAGCTAGTTTGAGCAGTCTCCAGACCCTGCCTTGGGATTCCAGGCAAAGCTGCCTCCATTCAATGCATCCTGGTGCTTACAGAGTCCCTCTCCATTGTATTCATTAGCTAAATACTCTGTGCCTGACAGATATTCTAATATCACTAGGGTGCTCCGATTTATGCTGAGGTCTGAATGTTTGAGGCACTTTTTTTCAGATGTAGATGTGATGGCTTGTAATATTTGCAAATGACTGACACACTCTCTCTCTTGCAATTCTGTCAGCAACATGCATACACATGCACACAAACAAAATACATGCATACACATCTCTTGCATTTCTGATACATTGCTCTCCTTACATACAGCTGCATACATAAACACACACATTCACTTATTTCTCTTTTATTTACTCTCCCTCACCGCACCAGTACAAGCATATACACATAATCATCATACTACATATACATACAAATATCCACACACAGTCTGCACATTGATCACCTTCTCACTCACAGTTGCTCAATTGCATACATATATTTGTCTATCTGTCCCCTTTAAACAGTTGTTGAATGAGATCCCAGCTTGCTGCATGGTGTGACTGCTTGTTTAAGGAGTATGCATAATTTACTGACTGTAAAGCAGATATGTATCAAGAGATCTGAGATTTTCAAACTACACATATGTGCAGAGAGATGTCAATTAAATATATCCCTGTGGCTTGCTTTGAACTCTGTGTTCTGGTTATATTACAGGGTTGGGGCACATGCTATTGCACACACTGCTTGCTTCACTGCAGATATCTTACTGCTGATAGCAGTATCACTTGTTTATTTCCCACCTGCTCATACAGCGACTAAGGACGCTACTCTTCATACAATCTAAGCCTTTCCTGTATTATTGGTGTGTTCTAGAGCCAGCTATTGGCAGATGCGAACCTTCACTTTTGAAAGCTATAAACGGAGCCTTCTTATTTACATTGTAAAGTGCGGGTTTACACACATTCCTTTTGCATAATGATGGATTGTGGGTTGTTGAGATACCTTAGTTGTGTGTTGTGTATGCTGGTCTTGACAGCGAGGAAACCTCTCAGCCTTATCTCAAGTAGCCCACTAGCAGTGAAAATATATCTAGACTATACAAGACATCATACAGCTTTCAACACAGGTACTGCTAGTTTTATCTGTTACTGATCTTTTGGCAGCTTCAGGAACTGATAACTATCAGAGAGCACACGTCTTAGAACTTACTGAGCTTGTCAGAACAGCTCGTACTGTATAGAAATAGTCAGCGGATGTGATGATTACATTATCAGCCTACAGACCATTATTACCTTACACCCACACTCAGTATCACAAGCCTTTCTATAATGTACAAAAGATAAGAGGATTAAACAAAGGGCAAAATTAAGAACAGGTGGGGTCAATGGGATAATAACATCTCAAGGGGTCGTCGTCTATTTATTAATATCTGAATTAATGTTGATTTCTCTTTATAGTCCTGCATAGTTAATCTAAAGCAAGATGATACATTTGTTTCTGTGTAAAAGTTCATGCACACATTGAAAAAAAATCAAACTTTGTTTGTGACGCCATTCTTTAGCTATGTCTGACTTGGGTACCCTGGGCCACTTACACTTTTTACCCCATTGTTAATTGGACCTTGACTGCTAACCCTAGCCATTTCCCCTAGTCACTGTCTATCAGCGGTGCGAGGTTAATAGATAGTCTTGATAAATAGCAGTTTGTAGGCCCCCCACCCCGGATCACAGACACAGTTAAATGCTACTACAAGTGCAAATGCATCTCAGCATCAAGTGATTATTGCACATTACATCAAGCGGACATGTCTGGAAAAAAAAAGTATATAGTGAAATCAAGTGATCAGAATAAACACAAAACATATCCTTTGTCAAAAGAACACAGGCATGGATATTTGAGGTATGGTAATTGACAATATGGACTAATAGGAACATTTGTAATACGGTATAATAGCCACACTGGCTGACCCTGCTATGAACCTTGGTAAAGATCACAAACAGTCACCAGCAATGCTTCCCTATCTGTGGAATACAAACATATTCCATTGCAAACCGAGTGTTTCCTATTTTCTCACCAGTCCACAAGACTCAAATGTCAATTGCTTTTCAAATTCAATAGCAGACTGGTGAGGTTTTGGTCATGTAACTGACTGACTGACTGAAGGTGCACAAAGGTGACTGTTAGAAAAGGAGAGTGAGAAAGGTAGGCAGGTGACTTCTTAAACAGTTAAATATACATTAATTAAATATATATATATAAATAGTATAACTCAGAAATTATGTTGATATTAAAAACGAATAAAAGTGTTCCTTTAGTTGTATTTTTAGTTTAGCTATAATCATTGCTAGTGAAATCTGTATTGATCCAGCCGTAGGAACACAAAGGGGACAATATAGAACAAAGAGCCCTTCTAACTTAGCTTGTGTGATCAACTTCATATATATGTCATTCTTGAATAAATATCCACATGGCCAGCCAGGTGTACCATACTCACACTGAAACCGAACAGCGCTTTCAGAGAAAAATAGGGGACAGCCATAAGTAATACATTAACCAGTTCACAAGAAACTACCGAAGTTTTTGCCTTGTGTCATCGTTCTTTTAGGAAGCAGCTAATTTATTTCCATTGAGAAATCAACATGAATTCATTTAGGATAACATTTATATGATGTTCTGAAATACGTTTTTTGGGTTTATTTTTTATTTATTTTTTTTGTACCTTGGGCTCCTGAAGTGACAAGAAAAATAAATAGACGGAAATTTCAGAAAATTAGGGAACAAAAAAAACAACAGTGTTTAACCTCCAGCAAATATGAATTTAGCTCAATTATGTTATTCTGCTACAGCTAGAATCTGTGTTTGAAGTTTACACACTTGTCACGTGTCAGCAACCGTGTGAAAGGAAGAGACTCCCTGCCAGCCCAGCCTATAACTTCACATTGAAAGTGCTGATTATTAAACATTATTAAATATTAATCCACATGTACATTTTAATTGACTGTTTGACATGTTCATCACTGCTGCCCTCATTTATTGATTTCATGTATAGATTTTTTTTTGTCAGGGGACAGCCCGGTTGTCTAAGCCACAGCACATTTAAAGTGACACTGCACCCCTTGGCACATTCCAGACATGTGCAGCGGCATTATTGGGGGGGAAATGGTGTTGGTGCCTTTCTATACAATAGTAAATATCTGAGAATGAACTTTTAGTCTTGCAATAAATTTTAGTAACGTCTGTTACAGAACTTACTGGTTTCTTATGTCTAGTGAAATTTCATCATTCCCTGTCTCCACAAGAGTCATTTATCGTCTGCATCCTACACGACGCAGTCGGAATTACTTAAAGAGACCAATAATGCTAAAGACATTAACTTTCGCAATGAGAAATATATGTGCAAATAAGTTGCCGGAACCCATGGGTTGAGATTTGCAATCACTCTGTGAGTCCAGCCGCTGCCATAGAGTACCTATTGGTAGGATCATTCATTTCTTTACCGTGGACATTCACCTATGCATATTAGTGATTTTCACTATAATTACTGTGTTTACAGCCAAGCGCTCAGGTGTCGCTAACCTTATTTTCAAATTCTGACTTGGTCATTTTAAAGCTAGTTTGAGATCATGGAGTTAAAATAGTACAGTAATGGCCTGTCAGGCTGAATCTATATAAATAGCCAATTGGTGATTGTTTCTAGACACGGCTGTGACCTTTCCTATAATTAAATTTATTTTCAGCCATGTAATAAATGAAAGACATAATATTATATTTGCTTCAATGTAAAAATCAATAAACTTACTAAATATGGAAGCCAGGCTATGTTTCTAACAGCAAACTCAGTAATCACTGCTAGTCCCTTTTTTGTTTTAGAAAGCACAGGGGAGTACATGAAACCCCACAGTATAGGAGAATAGCAGAGCCTTCCCTGACACACACAGTATGTACACACACAATAGACTACTAAAACCATTTTCCACTTGATATAGGTGAGCATCAGATCCATCTTCTCCATTATATTAGAGTACCTAATTAGTAATTAGTCAGTATAGGAGAGTAGAGTGCCAAAAAACCTTTCCTCTGTAGAACTGTATAAATCCTCACAGTATATATAGTACACTAGAAGAGCTATTCTTTAGTAAACCAGATCCTTCCTGAAAATTAGGGAGCTGTTTGGGTGGAAAGAGCAGAAACAGCTGCCACCTCAAAGAAGGCTACTGTGGAGGTTTGGACAGGTCTATTAGCATCTGAAAGTAACGTGGGATCAATGAGGCCTGCGTAGTTTCAGAGGCCTCTGCATCCCAGCATGTGTTGCTTTAGCTGTGCATGGGTTCTTTGTCACATTACAATTGTTGCTGTTCTTTTGTGTCATATCTGGTGAACAGCAACAATTGTAATGTGATGAAGAACCCATGCACAGCTAAAGCAACACATTGTTTTCTATATCTCTAATTAACGGGACACTATAGTCACCAGAACAACTACAGCTTATTGCATTTGTTCTGGTGAGTAGAATCATTCCCTTCAGGCTTTTTGCTGTAAACACTGTCTTTTAAGAGAAAATGCAGTGTTTATATTACAGCCTAGTGATAACTCCACTGGCCACTCCTCAAATGG